AGAAAATGCCGGCCAGGGTGTGAATCATCCCTGAGAATTTTCCTCATTCTCCTGAGGCAACGTTCTTCCACAATGTCATCCAGTGGATTCACGGAACAGGCCATAATATCTTGTGCTGTATTCACCACCCTCTGTAGGCACTTCCTATCAGTTGATGTCAAACCAGCGTACCACACCGTGATGCAGTTTGAAGGGACACTTTCTATTGTGGACCGGTATAAGGAGATCATCAAATGTTGATTGACATCGTTCTTTCGCAATACTCTGAGGAGATGGAGTCTCTGTTGGGCTTTCTTAACCACCTGGGTTGTATTGATTTTCCAAGTAAGGTCTTCACTGAGATAAACTCCTAGGAATTTAAAGGAAGAGACTCTCTCCACACAGCCCTCCCCGATGTACAGCAGAGCTAGTCCTACCTGGAGATTAAACTTGGAAACTTCTTCATGCAACGCAGTTGAGTTGCAATCCTCTCCTACATATCCATGCCCCTATGTTGTTGCTTTAAATCCTTCTTGAGGCTTGCCTGCCATTATGCAAAAGAAACATGGCTAGCATAGTCAACCCAGGACTAAAATAATAATAAGACAATTCTGTTCTTCTTACCTCAAGTCAAATATTATACTTGCCATGAGTTCCAGACTTCACACTGAAGGGTTGGGGTGGGTGAGGGCAGAGAGCAACAATCTGTATCAAAAAAATGTCCTGTGCCATACATTCTTTCAAAGTTCCCAGTATTTGGCTACATTCTAGCATTAGTCAGCACTGAGGTTCAGTCAACAGTTTTTCTAAAATAAACCATGGGGTTTATTTTATAATGCGATGAAATTATCTACAAATTATGAACAACTAAGAGTGAGATAAACATGCAGAGAAATGTTTCCGCAGAAGAAAATGTTCCTGGCTTTAAATACCCTTGAGTTTTGTTTTGGCACTTGCAATCGTGTTCCAAGGTAGCCCACTTTGCCTTGAACTGTTTATTGTGAGGAAGTCACGGCTAGCTTATCTTTGACCAAAGCAAGATTCATCCTTCAGCTGCACATTTACCTTCTATCCCCCCCCCCCCGCTGATTTATTTTAATTCATTGTGTCCCAAAGCAACCAACGTGCCGCTGAAAATAGAGGCATATTGAAATACGGCTGTGCAGGCCCCAATCCCCGAGCAGTGAGAGTTCCCAAGGGTCTGGGCACATTCCTTGGGTTAGGCCTCCCTGGAAGGAAGGTCATGGCTGTGGTGCCTTTGTGATAAATGGCTCACAGCATTAACACTCCCCACAGATCTTGTTCCCTCAGGGGCCCTCTCCAAGCCATAGGTTTGGATTCTGCAGAAAGAGCAAGCCAGGGGTCTGTGTCTCTTCCAGCTCCCAGATACCACACTGACCACCAGCCCTATTGTTATTAAAGTCTCCAATGACATCATGTCCCGTCCCCCAAATCTCCATAAGTTTCTATGACTCAACATAACAAACACAGCATACTTGGCTGACAGGTCTGAGCATTTTGGCAGCTTTTTCTTCGAGGGAATATAATCCTGGGGTTATAAAATCACGGGCAAGATCCCAAAGATGATATCTAGACTTAACTCTCCCCCAACTCACAACAATTCCTTAAGAATCACCTCTCCCCATTAGAACTGACCCAGACCCTGCGCTTGTCATCTGAGGCCCTTCTCTATGTCCTCCGTGCCGATTGTGGAATGCTCTCCCCAGAGAGGTTTGCCTGGTGCCATCACTACATGTCTTTAGGTGCCAAGCAAAAACATTTCTCTTTACCCAGGCCTAAGGCTATTAAATATGGCGGTCGCTTAACTGCTCTTTTAAGCCTTGCTGCTGCCTGCCAGAAGTTTGGACTTCACCCACAGAGTTTTATCCAATGCAGGAATGTTCCATCAGGAAAAGGATTTCTGCTTGCTCAAGAGAATGTTCTCCCTGCTTCCCCCCTCCCCCCCCCCCGCCAATCCTCCCTTAAGATTCTAATGTAGACTCACTAATTCCTATGTACTGCAATTCTAGGCACGCTTACTAAGAAGTTCTACTTCATTCCATGGGATTTACTTCTAAATAAATGTGCAAAGAATCGTCCTTTATCTGAGAGTAAGCCTCAGTGAAGAGACTGAGAAACAATCCACAGAAAGGCAAGATAGATGGAGATCCCTCACAAAAGACTTCATCAATAACTGTACACTAGCCTTCACATTTTGTATACCTTCCAACATTATGAGATTTTGTTTTAAGAAAACTCTCCCAACTCTCACCAAGTCACACTTTACACCTTCAGGGACTCTGGAAGCATTTGACCTGCTTTTAACTAATCCCTTCATTTTTGAGAAGTTTTTGCTTTCGCAATCCAATGTAACCAAGCTGGACTTTCTAGGCAACTTTCCACTTGTATACATTGAATTTGATCTCACAGTTATCACTGTTCCCAGTGAGTTCAACAGCACTTCTAGCTCGAATCTGATCCAGGGCACCGCTTGCGACAGGGTCCCCTCTGGCTGTTTCCACAACCCACTGTTTCAAAGCATGTGTGGTATGCTCTTTTTTGTTGTAAACAAAACTGTACTTACCAAGCCAGTGAGAGGGTAGCTGAAAGCACATTCTATCTCAGCAGTGTCAGCAAGCATGTGGATGTAAACATTATATACCTGGGCTTCCAATGGTTTTTTCACAATTAACTTGAATTAACTTTATCAGTCATGGGACAAGAGGACATATCTTCTGTGGACTAGTTGCTGGTTTAAGATCAGGAAGCAAAGAGTAGAACCAACTTTGGGAAGCAGATCCAAGGTTTTGCATTGGGACCTGTGCATTTTAACTTGTTCCTAATTGACCTAGAAGGAGCGAGCAGTTTGCTGGTAACACCAAATAACTCAGGGCGGTAAAAGCAAAAGGGGATTGCAAAGAGATCCAAAAGCTTCTCTTCAAAATGGGTGAATGGCCAATTAAATAGCAAATAAGGTTCAGTTTAATTAAGTATAAAGGGATGCAAATTGAGGCAATCAGAAAGGGGCTGTGGTAGCTAAGTCAGGAAAGAAGTAATTCCATGTGCAGCAGCTGCAAAAATAGCAAATTCCATGCTAAGGATTATTAGCGGAGAGACAGTAAACCAGATAGCAAATAATATTTTTGTTAAACAAACCTATGATGTAGCCACATTTGGAATCTCCTTTACAGTTGTTCTTCTCCTGTCCCCAAAAGTTGGAAAAGGCACCGAAAGGGGAAACTAAAATAATCAGGGGGCTATGATACCTTCCTTATGAGGAAAAATTAAATCAATTTACAAAAAGGATGACAAATAAGAAAGAGCCATGCTGTTGCAATAGGGTTTCAAATACCAGTTTCCCCTAAGAATTTGTTTATTTATAATAAAATCAGAACTGAGGGCTAACTTACATTGTTACTGTAACAATTATGGCAGGCATAGGCAAACTCGGCCCTCCAGATGTTTTGGGACTACAACTCCCATCATCCCTGACCACTGGTCCTGTTAGCTAGGGGTGATGGGAGTTGTAGTCCCAAAACATCTGGAGGGGCGAGTTTGCCTATGCCTGAATTATGGCAACAGTTCCTCCCTGTCATGGGTCAGGAGTCAGCTTTGCCTGCTGAACAGCAGCCTGAAGGGGGAGAAGGCAGAGTGACTCCACCTGCAGCTGATCAGCCATCAAGGACACAGAGGAGGAGGCGCAGATGAGAACCAGCTGGCTTCAGTCTTCTGAAGCAGAGCTTCCAGCAGCAGTCAGATGCTGGTAACAATGCCTGTAGTTCTTGGCCCTGTCTTGCTGCTTCTTGCTCTCCCTTGGCTCTGTGATCATCTGGATTCCCTGGCCTCTGGGCAGGACATCGTGGTAGCAGTTTCATAAAATTCGGCACGGCAATATATTGCAGAGCACAATGTGTGTGTGTGCTATGTACAAAACCATGATGTGGGAAAAACTGGCCATTGCTTCTCTCATGATTCCTGCTGCCCCTGTTGCAACAGTTGTAACAATAGGTTAAAAGTAAATGAAAATGGATCCGTGTGGTTTTTTTTACCCCTAAGTAGTGGCAGTCGCCAAGACATCACCCTGTTCGCCTCTACATAGCTCCATCCTTATTTCAGACATCATGATATATCGGTATAGCGTGATGTTGAAAACCAGGCATTGTTCAGCCCTAATCAGTATCCCAGATGGTTGTTCCCTACTTCAGATCTCCTGCTATCATTAAATTAATAAAAGTAGCCCAGTTCACCCAAGCTTATTTCTCGCCTCCTTATTTCCCTAGGCGATCACAAAGCTTTACTGAATAAAGATATGATTAAGAAGAGTGTTGAAGGTGTGAGGAATCTAACAGTCTATATCTGGGATGGGGAACCAGCAGGACTCTACATGTTGCTACAGACTACAGCTCCCATCATCCATGGCCATTGGCTGTGCTGATGGGAGTTGGAGTCAACAGCATCTGGAGAGATAACAGAATCCCAACCCTGGCCTACGACTTGGGAGATTTGTATAGGCAGAAGGAAGCAAAGGAGTCTAACATCAAATTCAGTGAAACTCACCATTCAGATATTATTATTACTACTACAGTGGTACCTGGGGTTACATACGCTTCATGTTACATACACTTCAGGTTACAGACTCTGCTAACCCAGAAATAGTGGTTCAGGTTAAGAACTTTGCTTCAGGATAAGAACAGAAATCGTGCTCCGGCGGCACAGCAGCAGCAGGAGGCCCCATTAGCTAAAGTGGTGCTTCAGGTTAAGAACAGTTTCAGGTTAAGTACGGACCTCCGGGACGAATTAAGTACTTAACCCGAGGTACCACTGTACTACTACTACACTGGAAGCTTGCGGCAGTGAACAAACAAGAAAACATTTACTGTGCTAACTGCAAAAGCAAAACAAAATCATTCAATATTTTGAATGTGTTCATTTTTATGTACTGGAGTAGTTTTCTCAACAATCTGAGGAAAAAAACATCATTTTCTTTTGCACTTTAACTGTCAGAATTGAGTAAGGCTTACCTGTTTTATCCTGGGATTTGCCTTGGGCAACAGGCTGGCTGACAAAACAGATGTAAACGGAGAGCAGCAAAGCTCTGGGAAGGGATTTGGTATGGATGGGATTTCTAGTACATCAAGTTCTGTCTTTTTCCCCCTACGTTGAGAGATAATAATATATAATTCATACAAAATAATTCTCTAATTCCAAGCTAAAATGCAAAAAATACAAGAAATGAAAAATGTTTGTGAAGGGAAAAATGTAAAGCTGAAAGACGCAGAGATTTCATTAGGCAGACTTTAAAGGTAGCAAGACTCTGAATATCAGGGTCATGGGTTCGAGCCCCATGTTGCGCAAAAGATTCCTGCACTGCAGGGGGATGGACTAGATGACCCTCGGGGTCCCTTCCATATCTACAGTTCTATGAATCTATGAATTCAATAAGCACCAGTTCTATTGTCTTTTCAGGGGCTACTGAACACCCGTTCCCTTCCAGCAATCCTTTTAAGTCTATTTTAAGTGTATCCTAGATTGGATATAAACTTATTTTTACATGTTTTTACTGCTGGTGATTTTATGATTTTTAAATTATTAATTACTTTGAGATGTTTCATGGGAAGTTATTCATAAATGGAATGAAATTAAATAAGTAAGCAAATAACCTAACTAGGCAGTTGCTGCTCAATTCTGCCCGATGAAGAGTTCTGTGCACTTTCAAAGCTTGTACAGTCACTCCCAAAACCTGATCCGCTAAAATATCTCATAGATTCTGGGAAATAACTTTCCATAGAGGAAACAGTAATTGCTTCTGTCACAAGAACAGTGCTAGAATATTGGCTATCGTTGGCCACCATTTCTCATTAATGACTTAGCCAATTCAAAGTCAAAATAATGCAGGTTCAGGGGCGAGACAAAAATCTTAAGCACCATGGAACAATTTCCAGTGATGTCTTCTGGTTTGGGTAAGCTTGAAGTTACAGTCTTAATCCTTAAAGGAATTATATTGTAAAAAGTTCAAGTGAAACCAACCATAGTTAATCGTTAACTGATGAGGATCACAAACATTCTGCTTGATCTCATGAAGTGAGATCCACCAAGTTCAATGGGGCTCATTCCAAAATATGACTGCATAAAAGGGCAACTTTAGACTTGCATACTTACTTTGGGTAAATCCCATTTAAATTCAAATTAATATGAACACAATCCAGAGCTAGCCCTAGTATGAACCAGTATAAGAGAGCTAGTTCAGGAGGCAAATAATACAAGGGACTCCCATTGATGGTCAGCAAATTTTGGCACCATTCAAATGTTATGTTTCACATCACAAAATGTCTTGAACTGTCCCTGGCAGGGATCAGGAGTGACATTTCAGGTAATCTCAAATGCATTGTTTAAGATCTTTTTCCATTAAAGCTTTTAGAACAATAAAAACACGCAGTTGTGCTGATTACCCATTAGCATCAGCACCATAAATACTGATGATTCTGCTTTAAAGTTACTCTTTAACTTTCCTGCTGCTCTTTACCTGCTAGGCATCTGGAACATTTATGGCCCATATGGAAAGTTTCTGCATTTATTAATTTCATAAATAAGCAGGCAGTGAAAATTCAACAGAATCATTTCTTCTGCCTTTTCACATGTATGCAATTATAAATCCATCTGACTACTTTACTACAATACAGCCTCAATAAATAAAAAAAATCATAGAATTTATATACTGCTTGATTGCAAGAAATCTCAAATGTCAAATACTGTACACAAATGTCTCCATATATAAATAAGTCTGTATAACCCATCTAATTTAAACAGTCAGAATGCAAGTCTAAAGAGAATGCTACTGGACGAACCTGGGTGTTTTCAGAATGCCATTTTTTCAGGGGGGATCCAATCACATACCAATAAATTCAGGTTGCAAAGTTAAAATTTATTTGACACTCATCTACTGTTGTGTATGCTGATGGGTTCGGTTGGTGCTTTTTGGTCCAGTTGGCCTCCTGTAGTTTTTGCCCCATTCTAGCTGCTGGGTGGAGCTTTCCCCTCAGTCTAGTTATGTTATAATAAAGCAAGGTTTTGTTTGAAGGCCTGGGGTATGTACAGTATTGTTTTCTCCCTGAACCAACACAACATGCACAACCATTCTCCCCCCACAACACACAAGTCAGACTTTTTGCAATAAGGAAATGCCTTGTGCCTTATTTTGCAATATGGGAAAAGCCCTGTAAAGTGGAATAACACAAGTTGCTTGGTGGAATATCGTCTCATCTCCCCACACACATATCAGAATGAATGCTCCATAGGTAGCAAATATCACCTGATCTCCGCAAGAAGTTCAGTGCAAACAAATCAGGTGGTCTGGAAGCAGCCCCAGTCTCATTAAGCATGACAAAAGTGAACATGAAACAATGGTGCCTCAATTCACTTTCAGAAAATTATCCTTGTCACTTGACTCCTTGTCAGAAAGTTCTTTTGTCATGGTAAACAGAACCCAGTACTCTCTATTCCCCAGGTAAGATTTAGCAATAGAGTGCCCCACCCTTGCGTGTGGAAAATGTTATTAACATAAAAGAATGCCAATCACAAAACCCACTGAAATAGTAACTTTTAAAAATCCATGCAAAGTGACAGTTTGATGGGATTTTCTACCACATACCTTCAACCCAATTTTACTTCCAAAATCGAATCCAATATATAATTACACAGGCCTCCGAAACATTTCTAGCAGTTCTGTGCTGATGTCAACCTTCCCCCAATTGTTCAAAGGCACCCAAGTTCTTTGCCTTGAGCTTCACCTAGTTCAGACAGGGCCCCTGCCAGAGATTCTTTGGCCCACAGAAGCCCAAGGTGAGATCACCTGTTCAGAAGGGAAGGCTTGCAGCTCTGACTCTTGCTGGGGGGGGGGATGAATGAGGAGGAGGGAGGCCTTAAAAGGGGGGGGGCTGTGGCCTTGCAGGTGATGCCAGAATGACTACCAGCAGCTCCAGCCAGGATGGCCAATAGCCTGAGATTAGGAGAGCTGTAGCCCAAACTGGAAGTTGTCCACCATGTTGTCCACCCCCGCTCTAAAACGAATGAACTTCCCCCCTGCTCGCCAGAGAGAGTCTTCTCTTGAGAATCTACCTGCTCATCTAATAACCCAGCATAAAAGGTAAAGGGACCCCTGACCATTAGGTCCAGTCGTGACCGACTCTGGGGTTGCGGCGCTCATCTCGCTTTATTGGCCGAGGGAGCCAGCATACAGCTTCCGGGTCATGTGGCCAGCATGACTACACCGCTTCTGGCGAACCAGAGCAGCACACGGAAACGCCGTTTACCTTCCCGCCAGAGTGGTACCTATTTATCTACTTGCACTTTAATGTGCTTTCGGACTGCTAGGTTGGCAGGAGCAGGGACCGAGCAACGGGAGCTCACCCCGTCACGGGGATTTGAACCGCCGACCTTCTGATTGGCAAGTCCTAGGCTCTGTGGCTTAACCCACAGCGCCACCCACGTCCCTATAACCCAGCATAGGATCATAGAATTGTGGAGCAGGAAGGAACCCCGAGGGTCATCCAGCCCAACCCCTCTGCAATGCAGGAATCTCAACTGAAGCATCCATGGCAAGGTGGGTCACCCAACGCCTCCAAGTGTTAACCAGCAGACATCTCGGCAATTGTCCTCTCCCCTCTTGACATCATTAAGATACACTCCCCCTGCACATGGAGACTTCTTCCAGGAGCTCTCCCGGGGGCTCTGAGCCGCCCTCTTTGCTCCCTACCTAGGATCCCTTAACTTGAAAGGATGCCCCTCCTTTGTACTTGAACCTCCCCCCCCCTTTCCACCAGGCACCCCAAGCGGCCAGGTTTACCTGTCTTCCCTGAGGCGAGCCGAGAGGAGGGGCGGCGCTGGCGTGAGCCAAGGCGAGAAGGCGAGCTCTCCGAGGCGGCGACCCCCGCCGCCCTTCGGGGAAAGTCCTCCGCGGCGCTCCACCGCAACCCTCCCTGCGCTGCTCCGCAAACCTGCCGCCACAGGGGTGGCCATCATCCCCCCCCCCCAAGCCGGTTTCTGCTGCTGCTGCTGCTGCCGCCGCCTCCTCCGCTGCAGCTCCTAAAGGCACATCAGCATCCCTCCTGGACCAGTCGGGATCCCGGGGCCGGAGGTGCCCGCTGGCGGCTGCTCGAGCGCGGGAGAGACCGGCCCCGGCAGCCCCGGCGGCAGCGCACACCTTCCCTTCCTTCGCCCGGCTCTCGGCCAAGCCCCACGTGCGGCGTTCAGCGAGAAGGGGAGGAGCCGCCCGAGAAGCCAGCGAAGAGGTGATTCCCCGCGAGGAAGTCCGGGGCGGGGCTGCGGGGGGGCGGGGAGCCAGGGATCGGGGGGCCGGAGGGGCAGCCGCGGGCCGGAGGGGCACGGGAGGCGACCTCTCCCACCCGCCCACCCACCGCCGCTCTAACTGGCACTTGAAACCAGATCGTGGAGGCTGAGAGAGCCAGTGCACACTTACCTGGGAGTAACGCCACCGACCACAATAGGACTTACTTCTGAGTAAACATGCTATGAGGGTGGATGCGCCCCCCCCTCACCCTACCCCATAATTGCTCTCCTGTGCTGCCAATTATGACGGAGAAGTGAATCCCGTTGATTCCAGTAAGGTTTACTAGTTCCTTTAATAATCTGTCCGCATCTTTTATCTAGCGCTGCACAATTTTGTACAGTTGCACAATATTGCATTGTCATTTTATTATTTTTTATCCTGCAAACTGGCCCATAATGTTTTGGGGTTTTTTTTCCCCAGAGGACAGCATGTAATGAATTACATAAATAAGGGTGCATATAATTTCACTCATGCATACCTTCCGACATTTCTCCAATGAAAATAGGGACATGCTATTCAATAATAATAATAATAATAATAATAATAATAATAATTTTTATTATTTATATCCCACCTATCTGACTGGGCTGCCCCAGCCACTATGGGCAGCTTCCAATATATATAAAAACACCATAAAACTATACAGGGCTGTCTTCAGATGTCTTCTAAAGGTTATCTCCTTGGCTCAGGGGTCGCATAATTCCATACTCTCCAACATTTCTTTGATGAGAATAGGGACGACCTAAGGAAAAGCAGAGCGGGATGCGGGTGGCGCTGTGGGTAAAACCTCAGCGCCTAGGACTTGCCGATCGTATGGTCGGCGGTTCGAATCCCCGCGGCGGGGTGCGCTCCCGTCGTTCGGTCCCAGCGCCTGCCAACCTAGCAGTTCGAAAGCACCCCCGGGTGCAAGTAGATAAATAGGGACTGCTTACCAGCGGGGAGGTAAACGGCCTTTCCGTGTGCTGCGCTGGCTCACCAGATGCGGCTTTGTCACGCTGGCCACGTGACCCGGAAGTGCCTGCGGACAGCGCTGGCTCCCGGCCTATAGAGTGAGATGAGCGCACAACCCTAGAGTCTGGCAAGACTGGCCCGTACGGGCAGGGGTACCTTTACCTTTACCTTTAAGGAAAAGCAGGACATTCCGGGATCAAATCAGAAACTGGGACGGCTTCTGTAAATGTGGGTCTGTCCCTGGAAAATTGGTCTCATGTAGCCTCAGCCTCTCCACACTTACTCAGAAGTCCCAATTATGTTGAAAAGACTATCCCTGGTCAACCTGTAGGTCAGGCTTCCTCAGACTCAGCCCTCCAGGTGTTTTTGGCCTACAACTCCCATGATCCCTAGCTAGCAGGACCAGTGGTTGGATGATGGGAATTGTAGTCTCAAAACATCTGGAGGGCAGAGGTTGAGGAAGCCTGCTGTAGGTAAATGAGTAGCAAGCGGTTGCCCCATATGAGGTCTCTGTGCCATAAAGCCAGCCCAGTCAGCAGGGCTCTGATGAACATTGCAGTGTTGAGGCCCACGAGCATCTCTGCTCTCACTGGATATGAGCACAGCCATAAGAAGAGCACTGCTGGATCCGGCCAAAGGCTCATCTGGTCCAGCACTCTGTTCTACCAGATGCTCGTGAGAAGACCACCACAACCATTTGCTTCTTCCTAGATAGTGGGGGGGGGGGGATTATGGCTGGATCCAGAGAAGAGTAAGCAGCAATCCATTCATGCAAGAGTTTCACACCCTACCTCCCCCCCCCCAAAGCTGCTTCCCTCACAAGACACCTTTGGAGTATGTACTGTATTGGGTGTTACCATGCAGCGCAGAGCCTGTTACACAGCCATGTTGTGCAATTCTCTTTCTTTAAATAAAGATTTTATCAAGACCTTTCATAAAAGGTAAAGGTAAAGGGACCCCTGACCATTAGGTCCAGTCGTGACCGACTCTGGGGTTGCGGCGCTCATCTCGCTTTATTGGCCGAGGGTACAGCTTTCGGGTCATGTGGCCAGCATGACTAAGCTGCTTCTGGCGAACCAGAGCAGCGCACGGAAACGCCGTTTACCTTCCCGCCGGAGCGGTGCCTATTTATCTACTTGCACTTTGACGTGCTTTCGAACTGCTAGGTTGGCAGGAGCAGGGACCGAGCAACGGGAGCTCACCCCGTCGTGGGGTTTCGAACCGCCGGACCTTCTGATCGGCAAGCCCTAGGCTCTGTGGTTTAACCGACAGCGCCACCCGCGTCCCTTCTAGACCTTTCATAGTTTGATACAATTAAAAAACAAACTAATCTAAACACACATAGAGAGAAGTATGCAAAGTCCTCTCATAGGTAGATCTTAATTTGCCCCACACAGAAAGAAATAAACCCTACCAGCTCTCACCTGGGAGCTTCCCTTCCTTTTCCCAGCCCCCCACCCTGAGAGATCTTCCCTTCCCCTCCTCTTGCAGAGGGTCCTTCACCAACCATCCATCACCTTCATATGTATGCAAACCCCTCCTTAACCCAGTGTAGAGGATTAAAAAACACACAAAAAGCAGAGCAAAACAAAAGCGAGAACAAAGCAGAAAAGGAAAGATAAAAATCTTAAAGGAGTACATTTTTTAAAAAGGAATAAAAAATACTTACCCGCCCCCCAAAATTTTATTCAAGTTGGCACCGCTGCAGCTATCCATCTGTCAGCTGTATCTATGAGAATATTCTGAAGAACCCTTGTTGTGCAATTCTATAGTATTAGCTGGCTTGCTATTTTTCAAATTCATTCACAATTTTTATTGATAATCAACCTGGTTCTAAACATCTGTATGTTGTGCCAGAGTATGTTCTTGAACAGAAGCTTTTTTTTTATTTTTAAAGGAATAAAGCAATTCACGATCTCAGTAAATCTGAATTACCATAGTTTGTTACTAGCTTTAAAAGAGCAAAAATAGAAAGTTTTTTTAAAAGCAGCTTGTTTTAAAAAAAGTTTTTTTAAGGAATAACATGTTGGCTGATGATTATTCCAGGCATAGAATGAAAGCTTTAATGTGGCGCTATCAGTGGCATTTGTGTGATGGGGAGCAGGATGCATGTGGTTGTGAAGTTGCTAAAAACAGAACAATCAAGAGACCAAAGGATTTATCCCCAGGCTTCCCTTTTCATGCTGCATGATGTGCCCTAGATGTGATTCTGTTTATGCAACTTACTAAGTTTATACTTTATACTTTACTGGAATGCAGTTTTTCATCCAACCACTTGCCAGTTTTTAAAGGGAATCCCATATAAAACCAGCAATTACTTTAAGCCATTGCGTTTTATCGACACGTTTTCTATAGTTTTAATTTGAACACTGTCATAATTAAAGCTTCCTCATTTCATACAGTCAGACTGCCTGACTCACAGCCCTTTGGATTCCCTCTTTATGAAAGGACACCCACGCATATATCAATGTTCCTATAAAACCTGGTTGGCTTTAATTAAAGTGGCTCAATGTGGAGGAAGAAGTGAATGAACCCTCATATTTTTGTACCTTCCACACATCTCACCTTCTACGCTGCATTTTAAATTATTATTATTATCATCATCATCAGTCAGTCAACACAGGGTTTATTCTAACATGTAGCTAGGCACATTTTGTGCCGTGTCAGAAAATGTCTGGAAGGCCAAATAATTTGTTATGCGGCTGGGCATATGGGATTTAATAAGGAGCTAGGTAGTTTCTAAAAAAGAAATGGATGAGCAAAGGAACTTGTAGGTCGAAAGGATGTACAAAGGATGGGGAACATATGGGTTAAAACAAAGCAAGATAAGCAATTTATCCTCTGCCCTTCTCAAAGCATCCCTATGTCTGCAAGGAACTCTTTCCAAAGGCAAACTGGTACACTTCAGTGTTCAGCAGCCTGTGGTCCAAAAGCTGTCTCCAGAAGCTACAGTTCTCCTCAGGCCTTGCATGAGGCTCCTTCCTGCTCAGTCCTTTAGTAGAAGAACTTAGGCCTCTTTCTCTTTTTTAAGCAGGCTGGTTGGCAAATTACGGGGCAGGCCCTCGACTCTTCTTTCAGCTCTCTCTGCACATGTGCCTCCTTGTCCTTCCTTTTCCAACTCTTCTGTTGCTTAAAAAAATTATAACAGCAGCTACAGCGTAGGGCAGGTCTCTGTTTTGTTATGCTACAGTCCCCTCTTGAGAGTCCCATGGACTGCAAGAAGATCAAACCTATCTATTCTTAAGGAAATCAGCTCTGAGTGCTCACTGGAAGGATAGATCCTGAAGCTGAGACTCCAATACTTTGGCCACCTCATGAGAAGAGAAGACTCCCTGGAAAAGACCCTGATGCTGGGAAAGATGGAGGGCACAAGAAGGGGACGACAGAGGACGAGAAGGTTGGACAGTGTTCTCGAAGCTACGAACATGAGTCTGACCAAACTGCAGGAGGCAGTGGAAGACAGGAGTGCCTGGCATGCTCTGGTCCATGGGGTCACGAAGAGTCAGACACGACTAAACGACTAAACAACAACAACAACACAGTTCCCCAGGTTCCTGGAGCTTTGTTCTTTTTGCCCTTCACTTATCCTGGAGAACTTAACCTTGAAGAAGACTCATTTCACATGACTAGACTTCTGGAACTTTTGTAGCAAAAACATGCCATCAACAGATCACCCTAATCTGTGAAATGCTTGGGTGATGATAGAGTCATAGAATTGTAGAGTTGGAAGGGACCCTAAGGATCATCTAGTCCAACCCCCTGCAATGCAGTCCCATGTGGGGATTGAACCTGCAGCTTTGGTGTCATCAGCACCACACTCTAGCCAACTGAGTGATGTTTAAAGATTTTACCTGGGGCCAAAGGGATGCTCATGATGGTTCTTGGCACATCTCATTGGGGAGAACATTTCACCGAGGGGGGATTTTTTTGGGGGGGGGGATGAGA